GATAGTTGTTTATGAAACTCAAACATTAGAATTTTTTCCTATTGCTGTATCCCTTAAGACTCCATCATTGGTTCATTTGTAAGAGAATAAAAAGTTCATTTTTTATGAGAACAATTATGCAATCGTGGAGATATTTGAGTTTTGCAAATGAACAGAGAATATCAAATACGCAATTTGTATGCATTAGCTCAGTTGAGAGTGATGATTTTATGAGATGGGCATTATCGTGCCAATTTTGCAAAATAGATAAATGAAGGTTTTAGACATGAAACAACTCATGTTATGTCAAAGCTAATAGATGATAGAGCAGGATTCAATTACACCTGTCTGACACAGTGGCTCCATTTTTTTCTTTTTGATTTTTGGGGCACACCTGGCAGTGTTCAGGGCTTACTTCTGGCTCTGAGCGCAGGGATCACCCCTGGCATGGCTTGGGGGACCATATGGGGTGCTGGTGATTGAATCTGAGTCAGCCGCATGCAAAGCAAGTGCCCTACTTGCTATGCTATCTCTCTGTCCTCTATATATGTTGGAACTCCTTTTCTCTCTCTCAAATACCCCTAACCTTTTAGATTATATTATATAATATGTATTATAAGTATGTACAACCTAATATGTTACCCCTAAACTTTTAAATTATATTATAACTATAATTATAAATTATAAATATACATAATTATATATTATAATATCAATGGAGGACAGTGCTACAGGGCTAATATAAAAGGCTATTTTATATATATATACATAATTGAAGGGGTTAGGGACATCTGAGAGGCATGTTGAAGTGGGCTTTTCTTGCTGCTGTGATTGACAGTTAACTCATGACATACCTAATGTTTTAAATTTGTATTAGGGGCTGGAGTGATAGCACAACAGGTAGGGCATTTGCCTTGCACGCTGCCAACCCGGGTTCGATTCCCAGGATCCCATATGGCCCCCTGAGCACCGCCAGGAGTAATTCCTGAGTGCAGAGCCAGGAGTAACCCCTGAGCATCGCCAGGTGTGATCCAAAAAGAAAAAAATAAATGAATAAATAATAATAATAAATAAAAATAAAAATTGCATTAGACCAAAAGATGATGGAGCTTAGGCCTTTAGTTTCCCCACTGCTAGCTACTTTTTTTTTCTTTGCAGGCTGGGGGATCAGGGGAAGAACTTCACCAAATGATGCTTGAGGGCTATACCCAGCAGGGCTCAGGAGACCACGTGGTGCTGGGAATGGAAGCCAGGACTGGCATGCGTGTCCCCTGCTGTAGACCTTTGAGCTTCCTCCTGGCCCTGGCAAGGTCCTCCTCAGACGGCCATTGCTTCTCTGACTTCAAGATCCACTCTTTTTCTAAAAATATTTTTATTTTAAGTTAGTTCACAATATTTGATTACATTTAATATTCAAACACCAATCCCACCACCATTACACCTTCTCACCACCAAATTCGGGATGTTTTCATCCCAAGCCCCAATTCCTGTACCAAAACACAACCGATTTTGTATTGTCTGGTATAAAGAATTTCTGAACATGTTTACAAAAAATTGTTCATATAGGAACCAGTGTATGGGGTATGGTGCCACCAGCAGGTTAATCTGTATTAATCTGTACCTGTGAGGTGAATGGATCAGCAGTCTGATGCTGCCTTCAGACTTCTAGATACCTCAACATTGCTGATGTGGCTCTGTCCAGACCCCAACAACTTGGGGCCAAGTTTACCAAGAAAGTAAACGGCCAAAAGTTAAGTATGTGGAAGACACACCCACAAACTGCCTCCGGCTCAGCTATAATTGGAGGCAAGGACTCTCTGTTTCCTGATTAAACTGCTTAATGGCCATCATCCCAGAGACTCAAAAACAAATCTCAGAACCCAGTGGCTTTTGGCAGAATTGTGTCTGGTCCCCACAGTAGGTTACCGGCACTGGGCCACCCCATGTGGGAATAGGCTTCATGCCTTGGCATATTCCCTCTGGCAGCTCGGTGGCCGCCATTCTCCAGAGGCCATTAGACAGTCAGGTTTGGGACACTTACGAGATGGGGGTGGAACTGGCCCTTTCCTCCCCGTCCCAATGAGACCCCAGGTTGCTGCCTACAAACGGCCTTTATGGCTCCTGATCAAGCTGCTTAACGGCCATGATCCCAGAGACTCAGAACAAATCTCAGAACCCAGCAGGTTTTGGGAGAAATCCCTCCAGATTTAATTGTTAAAATTTCAAAATTCCAAAATCGTGGGGCCACTACTGCAACAGCGCGACATCATGTGTTATTCATAACCAGCAATAGAAAACAAATTGTCTACCGTTGCCCTTTCAGCAGATCTGAGTGTTGGGGTAAAATCCCAAATAATAATGGTGAGTCTGGTGTTGAAATATTAAATGTAATCAAAGTAGAGAGAGAGTGATGTGGAAATCATCTGCCCACAGGTAGGGGGAGGGTGTGGGATGGGGGTATACTGGGGTTTCTGGTGGTGGAAAATAGGCACTGGTGAAGGGACAGGTGTTTCATCACTGTATGACCGAGACTTAAACCCAAAAGCTTTGTAACTGCTCTCACAGTGATTCAATAAATAAATTTAATAAAAAAAAAAGTAAGGTGGAGTTCATGCCCAATTCAATCAGCCTAAGCAATGGCTGAATAAATAGCAATACTCCTACATTAAAATTTAAAAAAAATTTTTTTAAAATGAAATAGTGTGAAGATTGTTCTATTTTGGCAGGAGCCATTAAGACATTCTATAGGATATCACTAATATGTTGTTAAAGTTTGGGTAATGTGAGCTTTGGTATACATATCTGAAAATATGTATATATGCATATATATATTTCCCTCAATGATTTGTTTATGGTGTGGTAATTATGGAGCATGGGTAGGGAGTGTCTTATGATGTGTCTGGCCATGTGGTCCAGGAATATGTTCACTCATATGTGAGGCTTGGCCTGAGCATGTGGGGAGTGGCCTTGAGTGGGGCGGCGGTTGGGTTGTAGAGGTTGGCTGCTGGGGCTGGGTCCCAAGGGGTGGGGAGGGCTCTTACCTGTCCCCCTCTGGGGCACCCCAAGTGAAGCAGCCTGGCACAGAGTCCGGTGGCATGGTTATGGGGGCCTCATGTTATGCTCTCTACTCTTTTTTTCAATTGATACACTTGCCACACGAGACCCCAGGAAGAAAACATTAAGGATAAATCCGCTGTAATTCTGTTACTGATCCCTAGACTGGTTAATCCAAAATTCTGTGCTCTGCCTGTTCTCCTGGTTCACCCATCTCCCCAGCCTTTGAATGTAGCAGGTGCCAACAACACTGGCATTTTCCATCTCTTTCAGTGGTTAGCTCTTGCACGTGCTCTTTCCTATGCTGGAGACTACCACCACCACCACCACCACCACCACCACCACCACCACACACACACACACACACACACACACACACACACACATATACTGCTTTGTCTCCCTGCGCCTACCCTTCCCCAGGAAAACCCTGGGAATCTCCCCCCCACACACACAGCATCTGTCCTGCCCTGCATTGCACCCACACATCCTCTGGGTTTGAAGGTGCTGCCTGGTTGTGTGAGTGTAGGGGACTCACTACCCCTGAGTGCTGACCTTCCTCGCCTTTAATTGTTACAAGCATGTTACCTAAGCCTTCACAGTAGATGCAGGCTAATGAGAGAAAACACGGGAGTGCTGAGAGACCCCCTGCCGTGGGATAAACCCTCCCTCAAGGGTGACTCTGACCACAGATTAGTTACCCGCAAGAAACAGGGGCTGCAATGAGGTTGGGCCCCCAACGTGAGAGTGTGTGGCACTGACAGAGCCCCTGAATATCTGCTGGATACATCACTCCCTCGCTCCAGAACAGAGCAGGTCCCGGGCCACTCCCACCCCCCACTCCATCCCATCATCGCTGTCTCTTGTCCAAATTCTTTTTTTTTCAGAGTTATTGATATTGTTTAAGTCTTTTTTAAAATTTTTTATTAGTGAAACACCATGAGGTACAATTGTAGACTTACAAATTTTTTGTGCTTGGTTTTCAGTTATATAATGCTTGAGTATCCATCCCTCCACCAGTGCCCATTTCCCACCACCAATGCTCCCAGCATCCCTCCCATTGCCCACCGCCCCATCCCACCCTACCCCTGTGGCAGGGCATTCTCTCTTGTTCTCTCTCTCCTTTGGGGTGCCGTGGTTTGCAAAAGAGGCATTTAGTGGCAATCATGTTCGGTCTATAGTCTACTTTCAGCATGTATCTCTCATCCTGGGAGGATCCTCCCAACACCCTTTACTTGGTGCTCCCCTCTCTATCTGAGCTGCCTTCTCCCCCAGCATTTGCAAATTCTGAAACAAACTCCTGCCTGACTCTCCCACTTAGCCTTGCTCCCTCCATGCCAGCCAGAAGAATCTTTTCCAACCGAAGTCCGGCTGTGCTATTCTGGTTTCCTGCCTGTCTTGGAAGAAGCATGAAGGCTTGCCAAGGCTACCAAGACACACTGTGGTCTGGTTCCTTCTCCCTCTGACCTCATCTTCCTCTTCTTCTCTCCCCCTCTCACAGGGCTCTAGGCAGGGGGGCCTCTTAGAACATTCCAGGAACACTTCTGCTTTAGGGAGTTTGCCCTGGCTGTTCCCTCTGCCTGGACCGCAGAGATAGTTGCCAACTCCCGGACAGCAGGTAGGGTGCCTGCCTTGCACGAGACCCACCCGGGCTGGAGCCCCGGCAGCCCATACGGTCCCCAGAATACTGCCAGGAGTGATCCCTAAGTGTAGAGCCATGAGTAATCCCCAAACCTAGTTGGGTGTGGCTCAAAAAAAAAGAAGAAAAGTAATTTTAAAAACGCAGTTAGAGCCAAACTGACCACTCCGCCATGCTTTCCGATAATGCCATATTCTCAATGAGATCCACCTAGATGGCTTCACCTCAGGGCCAGTGATAGAGCTCAAAGCAAGAGCTGGCACACATACCTAGCATGCAGAAGCCCTGAATTCCATCCCTGGCACCAGGTGGCTTCAAGCACCATTAGGTACAGCTTTAGTGACCCCCCACTCTGTCCCCAACCAGGCCCCCCTGAGGCCTGGTGTGTACTAGCTGCACACAGCAGACCCCCTTGGAGTGCTGTAGCTGGTGATTGGTACAGGTTGCCCAAAAGGACCCTGGACACAGTTGCTTTGGACAGTCATACCTCTCCCACGCTGTCCCCAACGTAGCCATAGTTTCAATGCATCATTATCAGGGGCAGGTCAGGGCACTGCCTCCTCTGAGGGAGGAAAGTACAGACGTTGCCATTGGCACTGTTGCCATAAGGCCCTAGATGGATTTCATCCACTTGGATCTTTCCAACCCAAAGTGGCGCATGGCGTGCGCACAGAGATGTCAGCGGCGCGGCAGTCTCGAATCCGGAGGCTGTGCCTTTTGGGTGTGATCCCGCGCACGGCCCTGATGGACTGTCCCGATTAGTTATAAGATGCGCCCGAGCAGCTCTAGGTAAGGCCTGCCAGTTCGGGTCTCGTTGCAGAGAAACGTCTGTGTCTTCAGCAGCAGTACCCTGCGCAGGCTGCTCCCTCCTCGGCAGCGGGAACCCTAACCAGTCCCCTCAGTTCTCTCTGCTCAACCCTCTTCCTTGTCGACAACTGAGAATACAGTGATCGTTTTAGACGGCATGTTTCAGGGTCATTCCAACTGCTCAGTGACCCATAGTGATGTTTGTCTTTTCTTTCTTTCTCTCTCTTTTTTTTTTTTTGCTTTTTTTGAGTCACACCCGGCCTTGCAGAGGGATTACTCTTGGCTCATGCACTCGGGAATTACTCCTGGCGGTGCTCAGGGGACCATATGGGATGCTGGGAATTGAACCCAGGTCAGCCACCTGCAAGGCAAATAGCCTACCTGCTGTACTATCGCTCCAGCCCTTGTTTGTCTTATAGTACTGCATGAACTCCAATCGGAACATCATAATTGGAGTTAAGAGGCAATGTAAGAAGTTTACTTTTTGTTCTTCTTTCCCGTTCCTTTGATGTTGTTGCTGTGATGACCACAGGTCACACTTCTTTCGTTTTTGTGCTGGTACGCGTGCTCACTAGGGTCAGACCCTGGAGTTGTGGTGCTCACACTCGTGCTTACTGGGAGAGGAGGATCGTCTCACTGCCGTCCACAGGGTTCGCACATTTAGCCGTAGAGCTCTCTGGGAGTCACACACATATAAATTGCTGTGTTCACACATGTCTAAGTGTGGAGCACCAGAGATCACACCCTCTGTTGTCGCTGCACAGTTACCAAGACTGTGCTCACTGCAGGTGGGCAGCAGTGGGGATCCAACTTGAGGCCTCATACGAGCAGGGAAGGCACTGAGCAATATAGATCAAATGTTGTTTGTTTTGAGGTCACATCCAGCGGTGCTCAGGGATCACTCCTGGCAATGATCGGGGGATCATACATGGTACTGGGAATCAAACCCAGGTTGGCCAGTAAAAGCAAGCACCCTACCTTCTATACTAAGACTCTGACCCCATAAGAAGTTTTTCTTCTGTTTTTGAGGGCTTTTACTAGTGACACGTAGCTATGCAACCCAGGGTCTATACATAGGACCCATTCCTGGGAGTTCTCAGGGGACCATAAGTGGTGCTTGGTAGCAGAGCAAACAAGGCAAGTGCTTTACTATCTGTCTTACCTCTCTGATCCCCAATGCAAGCAAATAATCAGAATATAGAATATGTTGATTCTCCAGACATACTATTTCTTAATTCAGCAATTAAGCACATATCCTCACATTAACTTACATAACTCTAACAGCTTTCTAAAAACCAGCAACATAACTAGAGTGGGTGATTCGAAAGCATGTGTCAGTCTGCTAGGGCGGCTCTCAGGGAGCATCACAGACTGGTGTGGGGGCAGCGGGAGTTTAAATAGCACAGAAGGATCGTCTCGCAGTTTGGAAGCTGCAAGACTTGCTCACAGGGTCCACAGGGTCCTTCTGAGGGCGGGAAGGGTCCATCTAGGGCTTGTGTGAGTCTCAATGTCCTTTCCTCAAAAGGACACAAGCCATGTGGATTAGGATACATCTTAAATGTCTCCTTTCATTTAACTGCATGTGCCCCAGTCAGGGATCCCAGGCCAGGGATTAAGCTCCTGGTCTCACACTCACCCTGGAGCATTTGAAGCCACTGGGTTCAAATTTGAAGCTTTGGGTTCTTCTCACTGGGGACCATAGCAGACAGGCTGTATGAGAGCGCATGTGGGAGACACGGGGGTTTCAACGCAAGTCACCAAGCTCACTAGGACAAGCTTTAAGCCACTGATCCAGACTCTAGGGCCCCTACCTACATTTTTAAAAAGATTCTATCATCGAATATGGTTCCATGTTGAGGTATGGGCTGGAGCGATAGCACAGTGGGTAGAACATTTGCCTTGCATGCAGACAACATGGCCAACCCGAGTTTGATTCCTCCGCCCCTCTCAGAGAGTCCGGCAAGCTACTGAGGGTATCTCGCCTGCACAGCATAGCCCGGCAAGATCCCCATGACATATTTGATATGCCAAACACAGTAACAAGTCTCACAATGATACTGGGCCTGCTCGAGCAAAATTGATGAACAACGGGAGGACAGTGACAGTGACAGTTGAGGTATGGGTGAGTGTAGAGTGCATATGTGACATGGCACAGTAGAAGTCTTGTCCCTCTAACAAATGAAGATATGGTGTTGTATTGGTGGTGGAAAATGTACACAGGTGAAGGGACGGGTGTTGGAATATTGCATGACTGAAACCCAATCACAATCACAAATCACAAATCATCCTATTATTCGTCGATTGCCTCGAGCAGGCCCCAGTAACGTCTCCTTTATTCTAGTCCTGAGATTATATTCAAGGCTCTTTAGGAGAATGAGACCCATCATTGTTACTGGTATTTGGTATATTGGGTACGCCACGGGGAGTTTGCCAGACTCTGTCGTGTGGGCAGGCTACATTCAGTAGCCTGCCAGTTTGTCCAAAGTAGGAATGAGATAATAAGATGTCATAATAAGATGTCAGGTGCGGGGGCAGGAGACTGCACTGTTCTCTTCCGGGAGCTGGTTTTTATAGTCTCTGAGTCTTGGCCGCTGATGGGATTACACGGCGCCAGGGGGCCAGTTGGTGGGTGTGACCCCCGCCTACTGGAATTTGGAGGATCTGGGTGGAAGATGCTCGACCCCGATCCGAGTAGGCTTGGAGATCTCGGCCCCGGAACCCGCGTGGCTTTGTTCCTCTGCCAGTACTTTCATGTGTGCGGAGAGTGGTCTCAGCATGGTGGTGGCTGGTCCTGGAGGTCTTCGGCTGCCAGATCCCTGGTTGGGGCGGGGAGGAAAGCTCAACCCGCTTCCCTCCAAGGGGCCCCGGCGAGGACAGCCAGGCGTGGGGGCAGGAGACTGCACTGTTCTCTTCTGGGACTGAAACCCAATCATGAACAACTTTGTAACTGTGAATCCCAGGGTGACTCAATTTTTTAATAATTAATTTTTTTAAATAAAATTAAAAAAGAAATGATCTTGTGTTTTTTTCACATCCTTGATTATTCATAAGTTTACACATTCTATCAAATTTTTTCCTCCTTTAATTCTAGTAGCTTATTTCCAATGTACAACTTAAAAAGTTTAAAGAGAATTTTTGGTTTTAAATAAGGACACAAAGGGGCTGGAACTATAGTGCAGCAAGTAGGGTGTTTGCCCTTGCATGAAGCCAACCCAGGTTTGATCCTGAGCATCCTATATGGTCTTCTGAGCACTGCCAAGAGTAATTCTTGAGTGCAGAGGTCAGAGTAACCCCTCAGCATCGCTGGGTGTGGCACCCAAACCAAAAATAAATAAATAGTGACAGTATGTTTCATGGCTATCGAAGAGAGCCACGTCCATCTGCCCACATACCAAATTCCGCAGTATGGATATGTCGTTCCCAAAGTTCTCCCTTCTAAAATCCGACACGCCATTATGTCAGTACAGCATCTGGTCCAGACAAGGTCAGACCCGAACACCTGAAGAATCTGCCGCTGATACTTGTTAATACATTGGCTTGGCTCTTCACACGCTACCTGTCTGAATGCAAGGTTCCATCCCAATGGAAAACCAGCAGGACCGTTCTGTTGTACAAGAAGGGAGACATCCACGACATCGGCAACTATCGCCCGATCTGCCTGTTGTCCATCGTCTACAAATTGTTCACTTGAGTTATCCTGAAAAGAATAGACAGAACACTAGATGAAGGACAACAATGAGCAAGCCGGGTTCCAAAAATGATTCAGCGTGATCAACCATATCCACATGGTTGACCAAGCTCATGGAGGTTTCTCGGGAGTTCAAGATGCTGCTTTGTCTAACGTTCATTGATTTAAAAAAGACCTTTGATTCTTTTGAAACTGAAGCGGTCATCGAAGCCCTAGCCAAACAGGGCATTCAAAATCAGTATACCAGGATCCTCTGCGAGCTGTATTACGGATTCACCACGAGGATCTCACTATTCTACAAGGAAGTGATCATCGACATAGAGAGAGAGGTTTGGCAGGGTGATACTATTTCACCGAAACTCTTCAGTGCCACCCATAAGAACGTCTTGTGATGACTGGAATGGGAAAGAATGGGAGTGAAGATAGACAGTTGGCAACTATACCACCTCCACATTGCTGATGACATCATTCTAATAATACCAAACATTAGCCAAGTGGCACATATGCTGGCCAACTTCTACTGTGAGTGTGGAAAGGTCAGACTGCAGCTGAATCTGAACATTGTCAGCAAGACAATGTTCATGAAAAATGAACTAGTCCCTGACGTTCCATTTGCTTTCAATGGAACGAACATCTCCAAATGCAGCAGCTATGTGTGTCTAGGTCGAGAACTCAACATGAGGAACGACTTGACTCCATAACTGCGCAGGAGGAAGAGAGCGGCATGGAGTGCCTTTAAGAACGTCAAAGAAGTTGTCAAGAGGACTAAGAACTCTGGCTCTGGGCACATCTTTTCAACTCTACTGTTCTTCCTGCACTAACATATGCCTCAGAGACCTGGGCACTACGAAAACAGGATGAGAACCCTATTCAGGTATCCCAAAGAGGAATCGAAAGAGCTATGCTTGGAGTATCACGCTTCACTCAAGTGAGAGAAGGAATCCAGAGTTCCGACCTCCATAGACAATCAAGAAT